TAGTAGGGTCTATCGGCACCCAATGGTATCTATTGGCTAGTTTCTTCTAAGGTTGGAAGATTTGAAGGGGCCCCCCTTGCCGGGGCTCTGAGATGTGGCATTGTAGCAGAACCCTCAGATGCCGCCCAGGCGTGTAAAGTAAACTCTCAAAACCCAAAATCCGTTAAATCAGTGAGTTTTTAGAAGCCCCATAAAACACACAAGCACCCCAAAGTCCCTGTCAGGCACCTTTAGGTAAAACACCATTGCCGCATGCGTAACAGAGTCGGCGCTTTCAGCTCTGAAGACATGGCCTCAGGTTGTTGACCTGGTCCGTGAGCTTCTGGATGTGGGTCTGGTAGTTCTGCATGTTACTGCGAACAGGTTCATTTGCAGGGTTTCGGGCTTCGTGCCTTACTTGGCGTTTCCAAGGTAGTTCTAGATGATACTGCAGTTGCTGTGAAGCTGCGGAACTACTCACTAGAGGCTTCAGGATTTACAGGGTGTTAGGATCTAGTCTAGGCGGCGTTAGGATTACTACGGGGCAGATGGGATCTGCCTCTGGTACCAGGCACCGGCGTCAAAGCCGTCTGGCATGTGCACCTTCCGGGCTCTACAGTAGACATCATTTGTGATCCCAACGCGCCACTCCAGGACCTCGAACACCGGCCCTCCAGCCGGCAAAGCGGACATGTACCTGGAGGAAGTACTAAGTAATAGTTTGCAGAACACCGGTTCACATAATTCAAACTCTCATATATAAGAGGTCGCTGGGCCAAGTCCTGGTCGCTCTGCAGCCGGCCAATGACCTGGCTGCTCCATCCTGAGAGCGGTGCTTCTTGTACTGAGCCAGGGATAAGAGAGCCTGTACTGGATGACTCCGAGACGCAGAAACTTGCAATGCGCTTGGTGCACTGCCGGATGCGGGAGGCCCGCTGCAGCAGTACATCTGGAGTTTGGTGAACTCCCTGCCCACGTCTGAAAAGGCCAAGCTTAATTAAACATTACATATATCCACAATCCCTTAGCTCAAATCCTTGTGCGCTGTTGGCACCACGGCATGCTGAGCAAGCTCAGCTGAGAACGAGGCCTGAGAATGTAGGCAAACTCCTGCGCGCGTCATGTCAACAGGATGCGTTTGGTGCCCGGAGCACTGAATCTGCGAGATGAAGGAAGCGAGGCAGGTCCCGGTTCGCGACACCGTTCAAGGCGTCCATTGACGAGATCAGGTTGGGCAGGTCGATCTATCAGAGCGCTCTCCAAGGCACCCGTGTCTCAAAGCTGCGGCACGGGCCCCAGGCCTCAACAGTATATCGCACATACAAGTCGAACCGGTACCTTTTTGGAAGACGTCGTTGCACAGCCAACCGGAAGAGAAACCACGCTCCATCTAGGATCGCAGCTTCATGGTGCCCCGGACGAGGCAGCGATTCCTGCTCAAACGAGCCGTCGATCTCGCAGAGTCGGACAGCCCGGCTTCCTGGATGTGGTCTGCCCGCCACTGGTGCTGCCACGCGGCTACGCGGCTCGGAAACCCAGTGAAGCCCTCTGAGATCGTGCTGAGCTCGGATGCTTTGATTGAAACCCCAGACGATGATCCTCAGGCCTTCACAGTTCATCAGCCTGTCACGTGTTTCGCACCTCTTGAGCCTTGCGTTGCGGTGTAATCTCTGTCCGCCCTCTACCTGGTGGAGCCCCGGGCTGCCGGCTACCAAAGTATTCGTCACACAAGCGCAAGCTTGAGCAGAATGAATCCAGCAGCACGCATAAGTAAACACAGGAAGCAACTTCCACAGTTAGACGGACATGAAGCTTGTGATGGCTGCGAGGGAATACCTTGCTTGCCTCCGCCTTCCTCTTCTTCACATCCTCAAGGAGTATGGTGGTCGCCCGGGTCACTTTCAGATCGATGGATCTGCACGCGAGCTCCTGCAGCTTCGCCTGCAGCTCTTTAGTTTTATCCTTGGCCTTCTCGGCTTCCTCGCCGCCTGCGTCCTGCATTGACTCCAAAGGGAAAGCCTGAGCCCTGCAGGCAGCCCTAGCCTTCTTTGAGACGTCTGTGGCGCTGGGAGTTTCGCCTTTCTTGTAGGCCTCGGTCGGATGCTCCCTCTGAATGCAGCACGCTCCGAATCCAGGATGTCCCAGCCGCCTTCTTGGCTTTCTTGATCGCGGATTTCAGAGCTCGCTCTGCCGCGGAGATTTCCTGGAGCTCAGCACTTCATTTCCATGAGGTTACCGAGACTCTCGAACCCAACCTCGATGATCTCGATGTCAGGGCTGCTTGGGTTCGACAAAACAAACCATACTGTGACATGTGCTAGGCCGCTAGGCCAGCCTTCGTCAGGGAGTTCGACAAGTCAAACCTTTGCGCAGGCGGATGGCGACTGTGAACCAGCAGCACATAAACTGTTGTTTAGTCACACCGGCTTATCGGCCCCCAAAACACAGAACGCACGTCTGGGCAAGGGGCTCCAGCTTGGCATTGGCATCTCGCCTCTGTTCTTTCAGTTCCTGGGACAAGCAGGTGTACAACTGTGCCAACTCTGTTAGCAGGCGCCACCGGCATCTGAAGCACAGGCAGCACAGCATTTCTTTCAGCATGTGCAGAAGTTCTGGACAGTCTGCGCTGGTCGCGCGCTTGGTCCTGCAGTCCTGTAGTTGGAAGACCCTGGACAGCAGTTCGAAAATCTTGCAGGAAAATGACAAAGCTAGGACACCAAACTGGCGTTGGCTCCTGTCTGAGTGCCTGTGCCCTCTCCGCCACGGCCACTTTCAAGTTGAATAGCTATGCGGAAGCGAGATTTCCAGGAGGTCAGGGCAAGTTGAAAGAAACAGAACAGAGTTGGCTCCGCAAAGCGGGGCAAGAAAACATTCCGCAGCTCAGCCACTCTTGCCGAGCAGCTTTCGGATTAGCTTGCAGCAAAACTGCAGCCTCAGCGTAAGTCAGCTCACGCCTCATTCGTCTCAAGCTTCTTCGCCTTTGCCGGAGGGGTGGTCCGAGCATGGGATGGTAGTAGCAAAATCCGGAGGGCTGAGGTGTCAAGGAAGCTAAGGTGAGGCACGGACAAAGTGCTGACGATAAGACTATTGTTGGCATTGAAACAGCAGCCGCAATGCTGTTGTGTTTCTTGGTATTGCTGCTTCCAGCATTGCAACTCTCAGGACGATGAGGAGGACGACAACGACCAGTGCCAGTCTTGTGTGTTGACATCGAATGATCCTCAGCATAGTCTGCTCGTTCCAACGATAACTGATCACTGAATCTGAAGTAGTGGAAAACATCAAGACATGACGGCTGTAACCCGAATGTCAACCCTGCCTGTTGCCCTGACATCTTGAAGACACTGCCCTGCCGGTACTCCCGGCTGCCTCCTCCTTGGCCCGCTCCTCCAGCTGCTTCTGCCGCTCCATGATCTCCTATCACTTCAACACTAGGACAGCATGTAGGGTTGGCTCGCACAGCCCTCGAATGATTTGCATTCATTTCTTGCATGCACCAGGCATGCCGTAGCCATTCAGTGTTCCGTGTTTCGCATTTCAAAGGGATAAGACATGCCCTTTTTGCATGCCTTACAGCTGCGTTTCGGTGTCAGGAAACATGTTAGCAACATCCTTGTCCATGTTGGGCCCAGCCAACATCCGCTCACCAAGATCAAGCCAAGTGCTACTGATCCAAGACTGCCTTGACTGTCCTGGTCTACAGCAATAGCTGCGACCTGAGGCTCGCAATGCGATGCGGCATACGCGTGATGCAGGAAACCCCACTTTTCTGCGAGCCGACCCTGAAGGCCCACCATCTGCGCCCAGTCCTCAGGGCTCGCAGAGGAGCGCCAACCAGGCTCGGCCTCCTCGCTGGCCTCCTCTTGGCGCATGGTGTCCTCACAAAGGGGCCCGGCCAAGCGCTAGTAACCGTTAGTACCGCCATCATCCTCGTCGGTCTGACTGCAGCTATCTTGACAGGCAGAGTGAAGAGGTGCTTACCAAGACTGACAGCTTTCTGTGGCAGGCTTCAGTCTGCTTGCCTGGGCGATAACACCGATGGCACTGAGGAGGGTGATGACTACTACGACCACGAAGTAGCTTCAAAGCACTGTGGTACTCTGTTGGCAGCTGTGAACTCAGGCTCTGATGCCATTTTCCATCAAAAAGAGGAAAGCGAGAAAACGTTGGAACGGTCCGGCGGATCAGGGCCACGCTTTCAACGAACTTCGTTTACCCGAAACGCCTTCGATGAACTTCGGCGAAGGGTTGTGGGGTCCGTAGAGGCTTCGTGGGGTTCTGCGAGTCGAAGCTGGTCGATATGATTGAGACTCTGGGGAAGGCGGGCAAGCACGTATGCAGCGAAGTTTTTCTCGGCGATTCTTCGGTGGGATGAAGTCAGCTGCTGATGCAGGGAATTTGGTAACGTTGTGGCCAGCATAACATAGTCGCACGCATGAGTTGACTTGGCTTCAGTTTTGCTGCTCATCCTTCCGCTCCTCCTCTGCCTCCTCTACAACATCACGACTACGACTACCACTACTACCACTACTACCACCACTACCACTACCACTACCACTACTACTACCAGCCCTACTACCACTACCACTACCACTACCACTACAACAACTACAACTACTACTACTACTACTACTACTACTACTACTACTACTACTACTACTACTACTTTTTCGTCTCGACAGGCTTACATGAAGCCCCAAAAGAGACGACAACAGCAACCTTTGGCTCTGCCTGTATGATCAATCTGCCGCAACGGCTCTTGGCTCTTGTCATTCATCTTAAGCTAGACTTCATTCGTAGTCTCTTCTCCCCAGCTCCCTTCCCGACCAAAATGCAATTAGTGCTGGGTAGATCTTGCTACCTAAGTAGGCTTGCAGCAGAACTGACATACTGCATGTGAGGTGTGGAGTCGAGCTGCCTTCATGAGCTTGCTGATCTTCTTGTATGGCGCGATTTCGTTCTTTGCCTCGTACTGCTCAATCCTGGCTACGACCTGGTTGGAGGTGGGCTTGTAGGGGCTGTCGAAAATCTTCACCTTTGCTCGAGGCGACGACGCACATTATGAATGTTGTGGTCTCAGGGACAACAAATGATACAACACCAACCTTGGGCCGGGACAGTGTTGTACTCCAAGTCCTCAATGTAGATCTCCCAGTTGTAAGGATATGCTCGGAAGACGGTCAACTGCCACCTTGGCGTCTGCGAGATGTAGCCCCAGCATGCTTTGCATAGCCTCGGGCCGGTGCGACTCGAAAGGGCCGTAGCTGTAGTAGTAGGACTGCTCGCTGAACATCTCGCAAAGCCTCACGCCAGGATGGGTCTAGGACGGCTTGATGTGCCGGGCAACAGGACCATGCCTCTCATTCTAAAAAGATCGACACACTTTTTCAGCACAGCAGCTGCTCGCCGAAGGTCGTGTAATCCATCCATTCCATGCCCTTGTAGTCGACTCGGAAGTCACTCTGTGCATTCCTTGGCTTGGCCCAGCCATCTGCTTCGGAAGCACAAACGCCCAAAGATAGCAAAAGCAGCACTATCGAGGTGGGTGGGGGAGGAGGTTGGGGGTACGTCAAAAACGGCTGGGCCTTAGTACGTATGTATGTACGTATGTTTGTACATAAGTACGTTAGCGGCAATGTAGGTAGGTAGGTAGGTAGGTAGGTAGGTAGGTAGGTAGGTAGGTAGGTAGGTAGGTAGGTAGGTAGGTACATACATACATACCTTCCGGAAAAAAAACTGGCGGAGGGCGGGGGTAAAAATGTACATACCTAATGTGAGGTTCCTTATGTCTTCATCGCCATCCCTCATCATGACCACATCAGCAGCAGCATCATGGTGATGATGATCATGATGCCGGTGGTGGTGATGATGGTGATTGTGACCATGTTTATCTTCATGACCTTCAGCGACCTTTCTGCTTAGAGGCTTTGTATTAAGTCAAGGTGCTCCGTGTTCAGGAGGAGCACGAGCCTGCCCGACGAAAGCTTGCGACAACGGCCCTCCATCAAAATCCTTGTAAAGCAGGATGAAGCAGGTAAACTCAACAACAAAGACCAATTACAGAGACCCATCAAGTCTAGAACCATGAGCTGCAGGACTGGAGCACCTTAGCATCGCTCTTCTCGCCCACCCCTTCTCTGCCTGTCGCGCATCTTGCGGATGAAGTTCTGAGTCTTCGAATCCGCCATCAAGTCGCGGCCTCCGGGAAGCACGATGACACAGCAGCACACAAGGCCAGACCGCGCATCAGGTTTAAGCACCTACATGCGGCTGTTGATTCTTCGTGACGCTCCCGCGAAATCATGCCACTGAGCAAGTACCACTGTTCCCGTCGCCTGGAGCACTGCGCTCAGATCCATGTCCCTATATCTGCTGCACTAGTTGTGCTGTCCTGACTCTTCCAAAGCTCCCGAAGAATGGGCAAAGAAGTGCTGCCCTCGGATACTGCAAGTAGCGCTGCGAGTAGCTGGTAGGGTAGAGCCTGAACATTTAGACAACTTCCAGGCTCTATCATAATATGCGCGAGCAGAAGAAGTTGAGCATGTTCCGGGGATGCAAACCCCGATGGTTGGTGTTTGCATTCATCCCCTTTTGGCCTGGAAGGTAGAAGACTGCCATGTCTTGGAGCTCATTCTCAGACTCGCGATAGATCAAAGTGCCGGCCTCTACCAGTAGCAAGTGAGCAAGAAACTGCAGGAGGCTCACGCTGAGTTTGGGCCTGCTCGTCCACCACTGACGTCCTGGAGCAAATCAATGGTTCTTCAGAGTCACCCGTTGAATCTGCTTGACACATGATGGACGTTCTTTGGTCTGGAGCTTAGTTGAGCATGGCGTCTTGATTTCTCGCAGGTACTCGCCGCCCCAGAGCTTCTTCACAAAGCTCTCCATGTAGGGGACGGTGGAGAGCTGCAAGGCCTGGAGTCGAAAGCCCGCCGACGAGCGAGAATCAGAAAGTAATCGCGGAAGCCTCGCGCCTCAATGCCTTTGACGTACAAGGACTCCATGTCAAAGAGCTGGTCCAAGCGAAGCCGCACTGCTTGCCGTGTCTTGCCGTCTCGGTAGGCTCGCATCACGGCATCTGAAGCCTGCTGGAGCATCTCTTCCGGCGAAGCCGGGATGGGGGGAGGCTCGTCCGCGTCCCAGCTGAAGGCTGGTCGAGCAGTGACGCCATGTGTTCTCGCTCCGCTCGCGCTCGGAGAGCGCAGATCCTGCGTTCGGCCACCGAGCGGCGCGACGAAGCTCAGCAAGGCACCTCCACTCACGGCCAGGACCAGAAAGGCTGGGCCCAAGCGTCTTGCGCGGTGGGCGTCCATGCTGCTGACAAGTGCCCGCAAAGACGTTAAAATCACTCAAGAGGTCGTGAGATGCCTGACGCATGCCTCCTTAAGATTGCTAGAATCGGTACAAGTCTGACTTTGTTCAACATTCTGCTGTTGAGGACACTGCGGCCGGCCCATGACAAAGATAGCATTTGTATCGATATCCTGCAATGCCCTGCGCTCTGCAATTCGCAGTTCATCGCGGCAATGTGCCTCGACCTTCTTCTCGGCCGCCACGACCTCTGGAAAGAGGAGCCAGGGGTCTCGCTTCGCCCTCTCCTCGAGCCACAAGCCATGGCTACCTGCTTGACGAGAGGACGACATAGGACGACAGTCCTCTTCCAGTTGCTTCTTGCGCGCCAGCCGTTTCGCTTCAGCCTGAACAAATCTGTGCACGATGGGGAGTTGCTGCTGTGTAAATTTCAAACACCTGTTCAATCACCTGCAAGAAGACTTGAGAGAGCAAGAAGACGGGGACGTCTAAATTTTAAACACCGGCAGCCTCCGACTGATGGAGGCTGATATCACTGATATCAGTTTAGCTCATGCTCAGTCTGGCCTCTTCCTCCTTTCGCCTTCTCTCTGCGCGCTTTCGCTCGAGCTCCTGCCCCAGAAAACTTTCGGCTCAGGTGGCTGATTACAGCACTACTGTAACTCTCCAGGGGCTTGTGGACAGGCTGTCAAAACCGGATTGCTGCGGAGAAGCAATCCGAGAAACATACACATGTCTTGCCGCGGATGGTTCGGTAAGGCCAACATTGTGTTCTCATGCAGACGCACATAAATGGATTACAGATACATCTACGCTGCAAGCAAATATACACTCAATCAGTTTGCATACACCTCTGTGATGAAACATCAGGTATAGGGCAGATGCATTTTCATACGCACATGGAAATGGCGTTCTTTTCAGACAGATCGAGGCCTCCATCGCTCGCTTCCGGTCTTCGTCGTTGGCCTCGTCCTCTTTCCGCTTGGCCTCTTAAAGACATGTCCGACAATATAAAGACATGCAGTCATGGCAGCCTCTTCGGCTGCTTCCTTGGCTTTCGCTTTGTCCTGCGAGGCGGCCGCAGCTGAGTCTTTCTCAAGTGATGCCAGCACCATCTCCTCCTCTTGGGTCTGCAGGACCTTCCTGAGCATCTGGGCATCACGCAGCTATGGTTTATGGATGTTAAATGGACATCTGCGCTGCACCCAGAGAAACTGAAACACCCTTGAACACCCCGTGAAACTGCCTCATCGACTCCAGGCCGCTAGACGTGGATCGCCAATGCTTGGCACCTCGGCTTCATGGATGGTTTTTAATTTTAGGCCTTTGATTCTCTTCGAAACACCTTTGCAGACCTTGGCATGTGTCGCAACCAATCTGCTGGGGCGACCGCTTTTTTCCCACGCCGACTTCGCATGGTCGTTGACCACCTGACAGTGTCCGTATGTCGTATGCAATCTGACCCTATCAAGAATTGTGGGTCACAGAATCCCTTTACAAAGTCCGATGGACGTAACTGCACAAGACAGTGGTTATCGAACAGTCAGGAGACCCGACTCCTGAAGGGAGCCCCAGGCATGCGCCCTGCAAGACACAAGTCTGCCTTGGTCACTGCTTTCACCTCCTCTTCGGACAGACCAAAAGCCGAAGCCCCTGCAAGGACAAAAGATGTGATCCGGCAATGAAGGCATGAACAATAGGCTCTGTGCACGTAGGTCAAGTGACTCTTTGGAGTGTTCGGGAATGGGATGCAAGAAGATCAGCCCAGCATCCACGACGCAAGAGGCAGATTCGATTTCGGTACCTGTCGTCGTTAATGATCCGGCAGTTGGCTATCGGGAGGCCAGGCCCTTTCAAAAAGAGCCTTCACACAGAGAACGTCTTGGAAAGCTTCGGCACAAAGAAATCCAGTGAGCACGCCAAGCCAGCCGTACTTCTGTCCTTGCTTTACAACTTTAGGCGAAGGAGGCCTTCTGGGAAGGAGATCGCTCTGAGCCAGGCTCTGAGCCAAAGACAACAATGACCATGACAAACAGAGACTAACAAGGACGAGGCTTCAATTTCGTGCTCAGCCTGTGATTTCCCAGATTGTGTTTGGCTATTGTACTGCGCCGACGGTTGGGCCTGGCATCAGGTCTGGGGGGCCCCTAGCCGATACACTCCCTGGGCTCCAAGCTCGCCCGCAACTCCGTGGTGCGTTCGACTGCTGCGAACTCCGGGTGCCAGGCCTGGCCCACAGTGCAGGAACTGCTTTTGTCGAAGGTGTCGGCGGGGGTTTGTGCAGTGGGCTGTGCGAAAGCAGAATGGCACTCATTGCGACTCCTACATGGTGTCAAACTCTTGAATCCTGCGCTGCTCCCACTATTCTGACCGAGCACCCTGGCCTGAGCGAGGAGCACTGGCAGCTTCTCCTCGGCCTGAAGGCTCGCCTGACAGCCACGAGCGAGAGCACACCGAGATCGCTCCGCCTCTGCGCTCCTCCAAGCAGACGTCGAAGACCAGTGGCCTGGCAGAGGCCGAGGATGGGCGGATGGCGGAGGCGCACGGCCTTGCAATGGGGCCCAGGCTCTCCGGCTCTCAGCGGCGTGGGCTGTCCGGCGACCTGAGGCAGACAGACGGAAGCGGAAAAATGCGAAGGATCCGGTCTACTCAGTCTACTCCAAAACCGGTACCCCGGGCTCCCTTGCGGTGAGGCGAGCACCATCCTGCCCGAGGCGCAAGGCCAGCAGCAACGCGAGCAGATGTTTTCTCCGGGCCTTCGCCGCCACCAGAATGCCCACGTTCGCGTTCGTCGTGCATGCCTCAGGACCGAATGAAAGCACTCCTAGGGTCCGAGAGGAGCTTCACCCACGAGAAATCGAGGCATCTGCATCCAAAGACTGCTTCTTGCCTTCCTGGGCGAGCATTGCTGCTTTTAGGATTCCAGCGGCGAGAGGCTGCTGAGAAGCCTTGAGGACGAGGAGGCGCGTTTCGCCGAAACCGTTCGATTGGATGTCCGCAATCTGCAAAAACATGGCTGTGAACCCCGTCCCCACATTGGAAGCAGACTCGGACTGCAATCCTTCGAGAGCTTCTCGCAGACCTTGCTGAGCTCCTCCTCGCAAGAAGTCCAGCAAGCTGTATTAACTGCGCGATTGGGGGAGGGAAAGCATAATCGGTATAGTTCATGGTCCAACTTTTGTACCAGACCCACTCCTTGCACCCTGAGCCAGTCTTCGTTCGCTTGATCAGCGAAGCTGCCTCAGAGCTCCAGACTTGCACAGTGTCACAAGCACTTTGCTGCGGCTGCCAAGAGAGACGTGGCCTGGCTGGCTGCCAGGCCAGAAATGGCCTTTGCCGCACCCGAGTCCACCAACTCCTGCATGAAACAATACGCTCCTTATCGAAAGCCGCTGAAGTGATGTCAAGATGCAACTTGTCATCCTTGGCGACGGCGAGCTGCTCGAATGGCACAACAGGCTGCATGAAGAGGGCACGAACCTCTGGCAACGGAGCTGCCGGCGCAGGCAAAGCACTACGAGCAGCTGAGCAGGGCACATACATCATGCTGCCACCCTTGCTCTTGGCCTGAAAAAGTCGGCTATGGTCATTGCACATGTGGCTCTGATCGCACAGGGCGGCACCTTGCTGACATCCAGCCGGAGCTTCTTGGACTTCTGCATCGGATCAATGCCCTGAGCTGCGGAGCTCTTGCGGGCAAGTGCAGCCAGCCCTCTCACGGTTACAAGATGTAGGTAATTAGGTAAGCAAGATGGAAGGCTTTGACGTGCTTTGCCTTCGTTACTCTGCACTCTGATTGTCGGTGCCAGCTTTCATGTGCCGACAAAAAGATTCGCTTCAGAGCCTCAAGGCCGAGTGGCCGCGACTTGGGCATCGAGTGAGTCAAGGCAGCTCTCGACGACCTCCATGAAGCCGAAAACCTCGCAGTCCAAAACGCGCCTCAAAAAACTTACATAAAATCCGAAGCGATACTGCGAGAGAGGGCTAGAAAGAGAGAGAGAGAGAGACAGCGAGAGACTCAAAGAGACAGCGACAGGCAAACGGAGTGATGTGCTCGCATATGTGTACTAGCAGAACACACTCAGCATCTAGCCTATACATGCATACACGCAAACATGTATACGCACACAAGCATACACACACACATGCACAAACATACGTGTGCAGACACATGCATTCGCAAACCAGCACACAAAGGCATACATGCATACACATGCATGAATGCATACATACATGCATAAATACATACACACAAAAACATACATGCATACAGCATGTCCAAACATACAATAAACAAGACAGACAGACAGACAGACAGACAGACAGACAGACAGACACAGACAGACAGACAGACAGGCAGGCAGGCAGGCAGGCAGGCAGGCAGGCAGGCAGGCAGGCAGGCAGGCAGGCAGGCAGGCAGGCAGGCAGACAGGCAGGCAGACAGCCAGGCAGACAGGCAGACAGG